TTTTTGGCGCCCCGCGGCCACCATCCGCGTCCTTCCGGCTTCCCGGCTGGGCCGTGGCCAATGCCCGGCCTCCGCATGCCTCCCCCCTCACCCCCGTGCTGGGCAAAGCCGGCTGAGGCCTCCAGGACCCACGCGCGGTAGGCGGCGGCTCGGGGAAATGAGGGGAGGGGGGTGGGTCGTACCTGTTGGCCGGGTCTGCACCGGAGGAGAGCTGGGTGGCAGCGTGCGGCGGTTGGGCGGCTGTGGTGGCGTGGGCGGCTGCGGCGGCGTTCAGCTGCTGCTTCCCCCCCCAGCGGATGGCAAGCCCCGCGGAGCTTGACAGGGGGTCTCGATTGCCGCCAGCCCCGCCGCCCTCGCATCCCAAGGTCTCCTTCTCCTGCAGCAACGAGGGCAGCAGCGGCGGCTCCCTGAAAGTGCTCGAGGAAGGTGCCACCGATGGGGCCGAGGTGGGGCCGGGCGGCGGAGAGCCCTGCGGCAGCCAGGCAAGCTTCATGCCTGACTGCCGTCCGGCCCAGGCTGGGGAGACATGTGGCCGGTTCGGCTTCCCGGGGAGCGATGCTCCTGCTGGCCGCCGCACCAGCCATGACTGCCGCCCAGCATGGGGAGACATGTGGCTGGTTCGGCTGCCCAGGGAGCGGCCCAGGAAGCGATGCCCCAGCCGAGACTGGAACAAGTAAGCCGGGGGGGGCGAACCACCTGCCCCGCAGCCACTTCGCGGCGGTGCTCTGCGGACTCAGAGCTCCCTCCCTCCCCCCCTGCCACTGACCTTCCATCTCCGGCTCTGCTGCTGCTTGGCCAACGGTTGCGCCGGCTGGACATCGCAGGGGCTGCTCTCAGGGCTGCGGCTTACGGGAGGGCTGGCCCACTCAGTAAAGGCTCTGGGGGGTTGCTCCCAGCGGGGATCCCGGGGCTTCCCCGCATGGCTCCCCAGCCACGTGCGCCTGGGACGGGGCCTGCCCAGGAAAGGGACTTCCTGGCCGCCCTTCTCCCAGGGGGCGGGACACCCGGGCGCAGGGCCAATGAGGAGCCCTGCGAGGGGGCAAGTCCCATGAGAGAGAGAGAGAGAGAGAGACAGAAGGGCAAGTGCAAGTGCCTCTGTCTCTGTCTCTCTCTCTCTCTCTCATGGGACTTGCCGGAGGGCCGTGGGAGGGCCGCATTTACATAGAGCAGGGAGGGCTGTTCGAGGGCCGGATTAAACCGGAACGCGGGCCGCAAATGGCCCGCGGGCCGGACTTTGGACATGTCTGTGTTAGAGTCTTCTCCGGGATGATTTTTTTTAAAAAAAAATTAAAAAGTTACATATTGTAGCTTATTCTCCTGGAATTTATTGGTGCCAACTTGGACTGGCCTAGCTTAATTTTTTGAAATCAGTTAGGGTCACATAAATACTGTATCTCTGTAGCCCCGTCAGGTCCATTATAACCACACAATTCTTGAATGTATCTTTATGCACATGGCTTTTCTTCATTAGAATTGTTTAAAAACAATGTTTTCTGATTGCGTTTTCATTTATTAAATTCTGATTCTATTGTGTCATTTGAAAGCTGATGCCAGAATATTGCCCAATTGTTTAAATTGGGCTCTGTTCTCTCTGCATGGGGTATTTTATAATCATGCAGTTATTAAGCATTCTGTCCTGACGTTTTCATAACTGGACTATTTTTAAATTTTATTTTCCTTTTGCAAATAACATAACAATGTGTATATGTGATGATACAAAGCAGAGGTCCAGCTCTATACAATGGAAATATGTTCAAAGTGTTTTATACAGGTTTACATTTACTGAAATTTTATCCAGAAGTTAACACAGAAATTAATTAAGATGATTAAGGGCCTGGAGACAAAAATATATGACCAACGGTTGCAGGAATTGGGTATGGCCAGTCTAGAGAAAAGACTGGGTATGGCCAGTCTAGAGGGGCGACATGATAGCAGTATTCCAGTATTTGAGGGGCTGCCACAAAGAAGAAGAGGTCAACTTATTTTCCAAGGCACCAGAAGGCAAGGCAAGAAACAATGGATGGAAACTAATCAAGGAGAGAAGCAGCCTAGAACTAAGGAGAAACTTCCTAACAGTGAGGACAATTAACCAATGCAACAGCTTGCCTTCAGAAGTTGTGAGTGCTTCATCACTGCAGATAGGGTATAGGATCTCCTGCTTGAGCAGGGGGTTAGACTAGAAGATCTTCAAGTCCCTTCCAGCTCTATTCTGATTGATTAGTCTTTACATACCACAAAGGAAGCAGTCTATAGGAATTGTATCTCAATGACCAAAAATGCTAATCAGTAGTCTGCTATCTTTGAGTCTTCTGCTGAAAATAAGCAGCCAGGAGAAAGTAGCAATTATGATAATAAACAGTCTATCTGACTGGCCAACAGCCTTCCTCCCTGAGCTATCCTTGATGCTCAGTCTAACGCCTGGGATTGCAGTAGTCAGTCTTTTGTTTGAAGAATTCCTTTATTCATACTGAAATAATTCAGGAGATTTGTGTAGCTAGTTCCAAGATGTTGTTTTAAGATTCAGATACAATGAACACACAATTAGGGCAAATACTAGAAAAAATATTTTGTATTTTAAACTAAATCTTGCAGAGTAAGTGCAATATAAAGAGAATATTCTTATATGCTGGCTAGGAACCCCCAGATATTAGAGTAGGTGGATTTGTGGACCCTCTGTGCATGTGGCCTTCTTCTGGGACCTTGGTTTACACTGAAACTTATTGTCTAAGAGGTTTTTTTTGAGATGTATACACTTCTATAATTGCATTGCAGATATCATTCTTGTTAGGGACCAGACTATATTCACAATGGTAATTCAGTTAGCAATAGCAGAAGCACTTAGACTTATATACTACTTGATAGTGCTTTACAGCACTCTCTAAGCACATTGCCCCCAACAATCTGGGTTCTCGGAAAGGTGGAAGGCTGAGTCAACCTAGAGCTTATCAGGATCAAATTTCTGGCATGGGCAGAATCAGCCTGCAATACTGCATTCTAACCACTTCCCTACCCTGGCTCAATCCTGTCAAAACAAGCTAAGATAGTATTCCAAGGCAATACCACCCTAACCTGCTTTTTCTAGGTGGTTGGTTAGCTAAAGACATTTTAAACATTTTATATTTTATAATCTCTTTGGGAAGAATTGGTGCTCTAATTGTAGAGAAATTATAATAAACCTGTTTGAGTCTTCAGAGATCAGTTATGTCATTACAGTACACATGAGGAGTAGCGCTTATGTTATGATACCATGTACATTTTGTCATTTGGATGAAATTTTGACTTATGGCCATCACTGCATATACTTTTGTTTTAACCACATGAAGGGTTGTGTTCTGTTTAGCATCACCCACATTTTCAGTATATGATTTTATCTGCAGCTTTTATAAAATGTTGCTAATATAAGGGGTGTGTAAAACCTGCCACTATTGTACATTTTCGAAGACTATAATCTCTCTTCCCAAATTATCTCAAATTTTCAATGCAGTTTGGGCATTATTTTCAACTGAATTGTACCTGAAAGATTAGCATAGTTCTTTCTGGCATCACTCTCAGACCTGTTGCAATCCATAATGTGCACATTTGCTGTTCTATTTTTATATTGTAAGGACAATGTTTTTTTTGTTTTGTTTTACAATTCTGCATACTGATATAATTATAGGGTTTCCCACCTGAACAGAGGGTTGGACTAAAAGACCTCCACAGGTCCCTTCCAACTTTGTTATTCTGTTAATTTTTCATTTTTCTGTTTTAATTGGCTAACGTAAAACTATTTTTATTGCAAAAAGTTGATGCATTTATAAATTACAATTGGGTATAATATTGTCGATTTTATAAAGGTGGTGAAGTCTACTGCTCCTAGTGGTGCTACTGGATACTGCCTGCCTAACAGTGCAGTGCTGAGCTGAATACAGAGCAAAGTGACGTCAGGCCCAGGCAATAATCTGGTTGGGTGAGGGTTCTTTTTTCTTTTTTTGCAACCAATGGATCTATAGCCATATCCATCAAACAGTTCTAAATTATTGTGAATTTATTTTCTTCATTATTATGTGGAACTCCCTGGCAAGTGTTTAATTTGATTTTATACGTTAGATTGGTTTAATTCTAGGGAAAAACATTTAAATGGTTTCCAAGTGTCTGGAATTATAAAGAAAAATGTATTTAATTACAAAGTATGTATTGGATATATTTGCTCTAAAAGAAGTAAAAGCCTTGTGCACTACAATGCTAAGTACTTACAAGGTCTGCAACCTTAGAAATCCATCTCAGGAAAACATAGATTTAAATTTGCCAAAAATATCCAGAAGGCATTTAAGAGTTCCAGCTACTTCTTCATTCTGAACATTTGTCTAACACAGCTAACTCCCAAAACACATACTTTGAGGTAAAATTTGCCCTGATGTTTGCCAGCAGTTGCTTTGAGGATCTCCAAAGTTTCATCAATTTTACTCATCAAGTGCATTAAAGTTCTTAAAGTTCTTATATGTAATAATCTGCATTAAGAAGAAATTAATATTGTATTGCAAAAAGGGCAGCAAAGAGGGTTTCTGAATTTCTCAGAGCTATCTAGTAGTTATCTAGGGGTTTTTTTGCAGCCCAGATCTGCTAGTTCTGATTTAATATTAAATCTAAATCTAAATTTGCTTCTGGTGATTAGGGTTACGTCTTGCAACATTAGTTACAGATCAACAGATTATTGACCAACATACAACATATCTTAAAAAAAAGCTGTGTCCTTAACTTACTTAACATTTGCAATAATGTCAAATTAGCCTGTTTCCTTACATATTCAGATATTTTGAAAAATATCAGTAATTGAAAACATGCAAACAAACAAACAAACATCTTCCAGAAAATAAAAACAACTTTTTGGTAATGCATATTGTTTCTTTTCCTTTCAAAGCCTCTCATCTATCTTCTAGTCCAAATTAGAAGAAAACATGTGTTCAATTTGAGCAATCATTGTTTTAAAAAAGCAATCTGTAAATTGTAAATAGCCTTACCAACTTCAGTTATGTACATTTTCCCATTAGACGGTAGGGGAATATACTGGTTAGAGAAGAAGCTGCTTCCATACCCCAGGATGAAACCTTCCAGTTTAGTGCTTGGAGTTGGACGAATGTATCTCATGCACACTGCATCATTGGTTACATTGATCTGAACTTTCAGGCTTTGTTTTTTAGCTAAATGTAACAAAAGAGAAAGAGAAATGTTATTACAACATAAAATAATTG